ACCGCCCCGCGGGGGGGCCACCGAATGGTGGGTGCGCCCCCAGGCAGCATCTCTGGCTGCCCCACACGCACACAGGGGGGCCACCCAATCGAGTTTGCTCCCCGGGTACACATTTGGGCTCACCCACACATGCACACAGGGGGCCACTCAATGGAGGGTTCGCTCCCTCACATGCTACTGTTATAGCGTGAAGCTTCCAGCCACTTAGTAACATTCCTACTGAACATCCTCTCTAGTTTCTTTACCCTTAGAAACAGGTACATCATGCACTGTCAGAAGTTTTAACAGTCATGGCAAAAGAGTAAACTGCAAACAGTTTGTGTTTGGCTAGACCTTATTCTTGTCTCTTTGTTTTCTGATGGATTGAGACCTATTAAGGTCCACACTGCCACTAACTGTATTAGAGTGTGTAGGCTCATTGCATTGAATTACCTGACATCCAGGATTGGGAGAAAAAAACAATATCCTATTTACTAGTACTGCCTCAAAAATGAATGTAATTAATCCCCCATCAGCCTCTATGCTCTTAATACCATCAACTGCCTGCTGTCGTAGTCCCTGGGCCTGTTCTTTATCGCTGAGAGCTGCATCATACCATACCATAGTACTAATATTAATACATTGTAAAGGTAGTCTACTCTGGTACATAAAAGTCATTTATTAATAAGTAATTAAGTATTAACACAAAATGTACTCAAAGTATTAAAAGCATTAGTATGCTACTCAATGCAGAAAGATTTTGTATCATACAGTAACTATATTATTACAATATTAGTCTACTGCTCAGGCACAGAGGTAAAAGCAGGACTTGACTGTTGAAGTTGGTTGAAATTAAGCTTTACTTAACTACTTTGTATCCAAATGCAGCTACTGATTATTTTCATTGTGGATTAACCTGCTGATCATTTTCTCTAACTAGCTTGTAAAACTTCTGAGAATAGTGAGACATGCCATCACAAAGCTCTATACAATTATCAAAATAGTTCCACAGACAATGTGGAAAATTATTTTGATGGCACATTTTATGTCTCACATTTACTGTTAGGGATTAAATTTATAAACTGTACACTTACTTTGACCTGTAAGGAGCGATGGTGTTCTCAAGGGTTTTGGTTTTTGAGATATCCAAGCTAATTCCGCGAGCCCCGCACATAGCCTAGCATAATTAAAAATCGTACCTGTCCTGGTGAAAGCATCTGGTCCTGGTCCTGGTCAGAGGATCGTCAGTGGATGTACAGGAAGCACAATGGTGTTAATTTGTGCCTCCGGTTCCGTGAAATCGTCGAGCGAAATAAACTTGCCCCC